CTACTACTCTCTCTCTCTCTCTCTCTCTCTCTCTCTCTCTCTCTCTCTCTCTCTCACACACACACACACACACACACACACACACACACACACACACACACACACACACACACACTGGTCCAGTAAAGATATTTTCACCCTCGTCTTGCTAATAGCCTGGGAGTAACACTGCATACGTGGTTTTGGCATGACACATGAAATCACTCTCACTGCTGCCAGGAAGCTGCAACTAACTAAAATTGTCTGAGCAGTACACATTTGTATGACAGGTTATATAGGGCTTTAGAGAGAATCCCCACATCATTCCTGTAAGGGAGAGATCCTCCCTGGCCCCAGGGTAGGGAAACTGCCTTGCCCAAAGGCAACCTTCTTCTACCTCAAACATTTATGAATGGCAGCACTGGAATTAGTGTAAAGTTCTTGTGTCCAAGTCCTGTCCTCAGCCCAATTCTCAGAGTCACTATGTTGATCCCTTCCAGCAAAGTATAAATGTTTGCTGAAGAAAATGTAAATGGACATGTGGCTTATTGGTCAGAGCGAGAAAGTCAAGACTGCGAGGTGCTCTTCCTGGTTCTGCCACCTGGGACCTTGGGTGCAAGTTACTTCACTTTGATAAAGGAAAAATGATCCTCAGGCTTGAGAGAAACACCTGTTACTTTTTTTTTTTTTAATTAATAAGTGTTCCTGTCTCTGAGTCCTAGCAGCTTAGTTCTCAGATGCCTGCAGGCTGCCTTAGCTATCAAAGCCCATGTGCTTCTAACTAACCCTCCCAGGCCTCTGCCCCAAATAGCTCATCCATAACCTTGCACTGCTGTTCAACCTTATTAGCTTGTCTTGGGGCAACCGTCAGTCTCTGGGCTTTAAAATGAAATGTTCCAACCCACAAAGGCCTTTGTCCCTCTGCATCCCCAGTGCATTTGCTGGCTCCAGGATCAGCCTTGTCCTCTGAATGGCAAAGCCCTGCCTCCTCCACAGTTTGTCCCTTCAGTGTAAGTGCTGTGCTTCTCTCCGACTGGCCTGTGCTGCTCCAGGGCCCATAGCAGTAATGATTTTTACATAAAGTTATTTACTTAGTCCCATAATACAAGAACTAGGGGTCATCAAATGAAATTAATAGGCAACAGGTTTAAAACAAATAAAAGGAAGTTCTTCTTCACGCAGCGCACAGTCAACTTGTGGAACTCCTTACCTGAGGAGGTTGTGAAGGCTAGGACTATAACAGAGTTTAAAAGAGAACTAGATAAATTCATGGTGGTTAAGTCCATTAATGGCTATTAGCCAGGATGGGTAAGGAATGGTGTCCCTAGCCTCTGTCTGACAGAGGGTGGAGATGGATGGCAGGAGAGAGATCAGTTGATCATTGCCTGTTAGGTTCACTCCGTCTGGGGCACCTGGCATTGGCCACTGTCGGTAGACAGGATACTGGACTAGATGGACCTTTGGTCTGACCCAGTACGGCTGTTCTTAATGATCCTCCCTGCTTGTCTCCCATAGCCCTCAAAGTGCTTTGCAAAGGTGAGAAATGGGCAGAGCTGGGGAAGAACAAGGTGTGTTGAGGGGGAAGAAAATGACCCTCCTCTCTCCCACGTTGTGTCTCCACTGCCCCCTCCTTCCCGCCCCCCCCCCCCAAGAAGCTGGCCAGGCGAGAGGTGTGGCTTGCGGCCTCGGTGGGCGTGGTTCCTGGCTAGGGGCGGGGCCCACCCTGCATGTTGGGGCGTTAAATGCCCCCCGTCCTGGTGGTGCAGCGCAGTCGCCGCCCGCCCCCCGCTTCGCCGACCATGGGCGGCCGGAAAGTCTGTATCGTGGGCTCCGGGAACTGGTGAGCGTCGCCCGGAGCCGCGTCCCCTGCAGCCCGCTTGCCCCGGGGCAGCTCCCCGGCTCCTGCCGCCCATGGAGCCAAGTCCTGCAGCCTGGTGCGGCCGTGGGCGAAGCCGGGCTTCCCGTCCGGGCCGGGGGGTCCCGCCGTGCCCTGGCTGTCCCGGTGCCGCCCCCTGGCCGGCGTTGGGGGCTTTGCGCCCCGCTGCAGCTGCCTCGGAGCCCGGCTTGAATGCGCCTCCCCGAGCTCTGCCCCGCCGGAGCCAGCCTGTCCCCTCTGCTCTGCCCAGCTCCGCCTGCTGCGTGTCCCTGGGCTCGGGGTTATCCCTGCACACAGCCAGCGGCCCAGCCCCGTGCACTGTCCCCCAAGCGTCCTTAGCCCTGTTAACCCCCGGCTCCTTCGGCCTCCTTCTTTGACAGCCCCCGCCCCCCGCAGTGGGGTGCCCTGTGACCATGCCGGGGGCTCTGGGACCAGTCCCCAGCAAGACTGCCAGCCCTCCCCACCACCAGGTTTCCTTCCAGGCATCCAGTCCTCTTTCTGTGAGCGTGGCCAAAGCAGGGGGCCTTGCTCTGCAGGGGCCATGTGGGAGAGAGCCTGCTCAGAGATTCTGCTGCTTCGGACCCATTGCCCCTTCCGGTGCCTGACTGGGCTCCCCCTCTGTGACCCCCCCCTCCCCAAATGCATCTGCCTCCTCTGCTCCCTGCAGGGGCTCAGCCATCGCCAAGATCGTGGGCAACAATGCGGCCAAGCTGGAGCAGTTTGACACCACAGTGAACATGTGGGTATTTGAGGAGGAGGTGAGTGGGAAGAAGCTCACCGAAATCATCAACATGCAACATGAGAACGTCAAATACCTGCCAGGGCACAAGCTGCCACCTAATGTGGTGAGTCCAATATTTTTTCCGGGGGGGCAGGGCAAGGTTGAGCAGAAGCTATTTCACCAGTGGGCAGGCTCTGTAGTCACATCAGGGATAGGCTGGGGAGATGCACAGAAGGTTCCTGGTGTTTCACTAGCACCTTTTGCTCCCAAGCACACGGAGGCTGTGGTGTTGCAGCCACCCCTGATGAGCATCCCTGGAGGGCAGCAACTGAACATTGCACAACACTGCAGTTGAGCAAAGTCCTGATGAGCAGCTATTCTCAGGTTCCAAAGCTGACTGGATCTCCCACTCAGCTCCCTGGGAAGCACATGCTAACCCTATTGGAATGAAGTGATTCCATGCCTGATGCTTAGACTGCTAAGCCATCCCTTTCCACTGCCCAAAGCACATGCCAACCGATACCCCAGGAACATCTTCATGGGTCACTGAAATGCAGTCAGTGCTGGGGTGGGACCCAGCAGCTTTTCACCAGCACCTAGCAATGTCACATGACCTCACAGGCTGGGCAGAGGCATGTCTCCTGTTGAAACTGCCGGGAGGATTTTTTTCGGGGGGGGGAGAGCTTGGGGCAAATGCTTCCCTCTCCTGCCACGCCACTGCAGAGCCCTGAAATGCAGCTGTGGATAGAGGAGCTGGCTTCTTTCTCTCCCAGCAGAGTGAAGATCAAGGGGGGCAAGGCCTGTTTTCAAAGCCTTGTCTCCTTGGTGACGGAGGTAATAAATAACTATCTGCTCCAGAGTCGGCTAACTGATCTGGTTCCCTGAGGCCAGGACATGCAGGGAATGGCTTGTGCAACCGCTGCGGGGCTGGCTTGCGTGCTCAGTTACTCATTCATGCAGTGAGCTTGCCCTGTGCGCCCTGCGCTGTGGTCCCTGGCTGCTCTTCCCCCATGGAGCCCCCCTTACCCTCCTTGCTGTTTGCCTGACCCTGTTTCTCACCCACGGTGCTCGCTCTACTGCAGCCTTGACTGAGGCAATGGGCACCCTAGTCGCTCCTCACACCAGACTGGATGGGAACGGCGCTGCATGTCTGGTTGTGCTTCAGGGTGTCAGGCCTGCAAAGAACCCCTTCTCTCCAAGGATCTGTGGTGTTTTAGGGGCAATGACCTCCATTACAGAACCACGTGCCAGCAGGGGAGCGGGGTTAAACCCAACTAAGACCCCCAGATAGGTGTGTGATCTCCCCATCCATCAGCCTCATCTCCTGTCCGCACCCCAACCTCCCTGGCCTCTTGGGTGGCCTCTCTCTTCCTGTCCTGGCCATGGGCTGAGCCTTCCTCCAGGTGGTGCTCTGCCATCTTCAAGCCCCAGCTGCCTCACTGGACCCTGCCCCAAAGACCCCACTTGAACTCCAGTGTTGAGGGGAGAAACTCGCGTGGCTCCTGACTTCAGGTGGGCCGTGTACTTGCAGAACATGCCTCCACGGGGAGCCTCTGGCAGCCCCATTTCCCACCACATTACCCAGGATTTTACAGGCCCCTCTTGGCACTAGGTAGCAGCTTGGTGACAATGGACACAGCTTCTTGGTGATGGGCCCATTCCCCTACAGGTGGCAGTGCCAGACCTGCTGAAGGCCTCAGCTGGGGCAGACATCCTCATCTTTGTGGTGCCCCACCAGTTCATCGGCAAACTCTGTGAGCAGCTCAAAGACCATGTGAAGAAGGAGACCATCGGGGTATCGCTCATCAAGGTGTGAGCGGAAGAGCAGCATCTAGATGCTGAGCCTGGCTCACTGGGGTGGCTCTGCGCACTGGTTGGCAGGGCATGAGCTGGGTAGGGAAGGGGACTGGGTGGTGGCAGGAGGGGGCCAGGTCTCTAGGTGGACAAGGAGCTGGGGAGGAAGAGTCTAAGGGATTTTTCACCTGGAAACTGAGTTTCATGGGTATAACAGGCATGTGCAGGCCACGGTGCGGAGGGGAGAGCAGCAAGTGGAGTAACTCGGAAGGAATAGGAACAGGGCACTTGACTGGGGTGGGGGGGTGTATACTGCTACGGCATTTAGGGACGGCGTGTGGGATGAGGGGAGACTATGGGCCAAGCATTGAGATTGAGGGCGGGCCTTGGGATTGGTGGAGAGAAAATAGACCTTGGGCGTGGGGGTTAGGGCACTATGGAGACAATAGAGATCATCAGGTGGGTGACTGAGGCATGACGGTGGGCCATGGGCCAGGGTTTAATGCAGATGGGGCACAAGGGACACAGAGTGCAATGCAACTGAGGGAGCTTGGGAGTTACCGGGCATCTGACCCCCTGGGGAATAACCACTGCGCCCGGTTGCATCGCAGGGGGTGGATGAGGGCCCAGAGGGGCTGAAGCTGATCTCGCACGTTATCCATGAATGGCTGGGCATCGAGATGAGCGTCTTGATGGGGGCCAACATTGCCAACGAAGTGGCAGAGGAGAAGTTCTGCGAAACGACCATTGGTAATGAGCCACCCCCCACTGTTGCCCCCTCAGCCTGGAGCCGGGGAGGGGGCAGGGTTACAAGGGGTTAAAATACCCCACCCTACTCAGGGGCCCTACCAGTCTTCCCTCCCAGGGCAGGGGTCCTGCCTGCTGCCCACCCCAGGCACAGGGCTTGGGGTGGGGGTAGGGAGGGAACCTCAGCAGGTGTCAGATGCTGAGGGATCTGATGCCATTGCTTAGTTGGGTGGCATTAGAAAAGTGACTCTTCCTCCCACACCCATCCCTGCACCATCGGGGTGGGTCTTTGAGCATCAGCCAGCTTCACCAGCATGACTGTATGTGTGGGCCTGTTGGCCACACAGAGCCCAGCTCCTCTGGTGTGTGAGGAGCAGGCTGGGGGCATGTCATCCCTGGGCATTGGTGACAGAACCCTCATCTCAGGTCCAGTGTCAGGCCCTTTATTCCTGGTGCTGGAGACAGACATCTGCTGGGTTCCAGCTCTCTGGATTTTCTGGCTTTGCACCATTGGCAAGGGGGACAAGCCTCTTGATGCCAAGGGGGCTGGAGCCCTAGAGAGAGAACTGAGCAGAGGCCTTGTGGTATCATGTTAAGGGACCTTTTGGTGACACTCTCCCAGTCTTCTATTATCAGTAGGGCAGCTGGAAAGCTCAGCTGATGACAGGCCATCTGTATGGCCTGTTTGTTAAACACAGAAAGCAGCCAAGATCAACAGAGTGGCTGGCTGGCTTGGGCACCTCTTCTGTCATGAGATTCAAAGGTGGCTTTGGCTTTAAAAGCAGAGGAGACACTGCAAAGGGTGGGGGGCGGGGGAGGGGCGGACTAGAACGTTATAAACCCATCACGCTCTTAGTGCTAATCACGCTGGTGCCTCGCAGCCAAAGCCCCGTTGTACTGGGTGCTACACAATCACACAGACGGTATCAATCCAAGAGCTGGCAGGACTGAGGACCTTTTTCATGGCATGGGTGCATGTCAGTTATATCTTGGTGGATACACCAGAGAGGCTTGGAATTGGTCAGGTCTCCTGGGAACTATTTTGGGGTTATTACTTTATCAATCTAGCAGCACAGCCTGAACGTGGCACTTTCCAGCCATGCATAGCAGCCATGTCCTTGTCCACTCAGGCAAAATGCAGGCAGCAGAGGAGCAGTGTTGCAGCATGAAAACCAAAAGGCTGAGCTGGGATGGGTCTTGTACCATGTTACCTTCATGGGTATTTATTAATTTAGGGCAAAAATTTCAAAGCTGGATGCTTGGAGTCAGGGTCTCTGAGCCCTGCACTGGCCTGGCTTTCAGAGGGGCCAAGCCCCGTTGAAGGCAATTGGCGCTGCTGACTATGGAGCCAGGTCCTGCCCATGCCTAAATGTTGATGTAGGAGCCTGGCCCCATGTCTGAAAATCACAGCCTCTCCTGGACCATTATTAAAGTGGGCACTGTCCCTCTGGGACACTCCTCCAGTCCTGGGTCTTTGCCTGCTACTAGCTATGTTTTACAGTAACATCTCTTCCCCTGGCTTATTTGCTGTGTTCAGAGTCTCCACCCCGGCTAAATGTGTTGTTTTAATTACAAAGAAATATGCCTCACTCATACAGACCAGAGCTGTTCTGTTTATAACAGCTCCCTCCAGACACCCAGGCTGCACCTGTGGCTCACCCTGCATTTGTATAGTGCCCAGCACCAGGGACCTCCCAAGAGCTGGAGAGGCAGTGTGGGGGTTATGGTCGTACAAATACCAAGCGTTCGGTCAGGGCAGGATTGTTTCCTGCAGCTTCTGTCACAGCATATTAAGAGCAGCTTGAGTCCAACTGTCGTTATGGCTGTAGAGATCAAAGCCTCCATTGCGCTTTCCTGGGGAGCTGTTGGGGGATTAGAGCGGAGAAGCAGCGACCCAGTGCAGGTGCTTTGCCTCTTGGGGGTCTGTCATGTGTGTTCATGTTTGTTGGTCCCGCAAGGAGATGAGTGACTCACACATAAAGGTGGCATTTATTCAACTCACCAGCAGGCAGGGAAAGCCAAGCACACGTTGTCCCTAATTAGGTTTCAGCGTGTTAAAGTCATGCCAGACGTGCTCTGGGTAAAGGCTCCTTATTAAGTCAAAATTGTGATTCTGTCTCCAGTTGAATTAGCAGCAGGGCTCTGCAAATGCTTTATGTTTCAGTAACACTCGTCAATCCACTATGAGGGTAAGAGTCGAAGCCTGGAGCAGAGGGACAAGGGGCATAGGTTGGGACGGGGCGGGCAGCGCTTAGGGTTTTGTAATGTCAAACAGCCAGGCTGTGGTTCTCTTTATCACTGCAACAGCTGAAGGCTCCACGCTTCTCGCTGCTGTCAGCCCTTGATAGACCATCTGTCTTCCATGATATCCCAAGGCCACCAAGGCTAACGACTGATCCAGTCTGTGTTTGTCCAGCATCCATGCAGGAGCATGGCAGCAGGTTTCTCTCTCCTTGCCTGACAAGGCTTTCCTAGGTCAACACTTTGAGGACTTTCCATGTGGGCACTGTCTGTGTATGTTCAGGGGCGCTGGATGAAATTCAGAGGGACCCCGGTGGGGTTGGCTCGCTCTGCCTGTTGGCCTGGCAAGGCTTGGATTTAATTTATATTTGGAGGGTAGGGCTCAGGCATTGCCCTTCTGCCCTGTCCACTCAGCGAGTCTCAGAGCACTTCACAAGCATTAAGCCCCTCCACTCCCGGCGCATCCTACAGAGGTCACTGTTGTCCCCACTGTGTGTCAGTTTCCCCATCTGCCCCATCTGGCTGTGACTATGATGTGTCAAACTGGGTTGCTGGGAATGGAAACCAGGCGTCTTGGCTGTTAGGCCCTGCATTTAGCTGATCAGGGTGAGATGGCGTGTGTAGCAGCTGGAGTTGTGTTCCTGTATTAATGCTGTGTCCCAGAGGAGAGAATCCTGCTCCGGAAAAGGCACCTCTGCTTCCTTTTGCCAGTAGGACCCTGGAGTCCTTTTGTGGGGCCTAGGCACATGGGCTGGACCGTCCGTGTGCCATCTCTGCTGCCCTAGTGTAGATAAAAACCAGATCCCTCCCCAATGCTCGGCAAGGCGCCAGCTCTAACACCGGGCAAGAGGGGTTGAGCTGTCAGGCGTGTGGAGGCATGAGTTCATCTCCCCTATTGGGCAGGTTGGAGGTGGGCACAATCCTTCTCCAGGGTCTCTGCCAGTAATGCTGCCCCCCAACACACACCCTTTAGGCTGCAAGAACCTGGAGCATGGGCAAATCCTGAAGGAGCTGATGCAGACGTGCAACTTCCGGATCACCGTGGTACCGGAGGCTGACACCGTGGAGATCTGCGGGGCCCTCAAGGTGCACGAAAGGGCAGGGCATCGGGTTAGCAACAGGCCTGGCCTGCTATCTCTGCAGGGCGTTCAGGGAGGCTAAGTGGAGAGGCCCAAGTTGGACATTGGCTGGGTCATCACTCGCACAAAGCATCACGGGAGCAATGGGGGTGCCTCAGTGTTACACCAAGTCCAGCAGCTTGCCCATGCTGAGGCAAGTGGACATAGTGGGAAGGATGCCACCTAGGTCTCCCATCCAAGTGCTGGCCTGATCCAGCCCTGCTTAGCTGACAGGCTCTGAGCAGGAGGAGCAGGTATGGGCCCTCAGGGAGGTGCCTTGATGCTCCAGGAACATGCAGACACTGACAGAGAGTGATCCCTGCTGGTAACAGGCCCCTGTGGGCTGTCGTCCCCCCAGAACGTCGTAGCTGTAGGGGCTGGTTTCTGTGATGGCCTGAGCTTTGGGGACAACACCAAGGCTGCTGTGATTCGCCTCGGGCTGATGGAGATGATCACCTTTGCCAAGCTCTTCTGCAAAGGCCCTGTCACTTCGGCCACCTTCCTGGAGAGCTGTGGGATCGCCGACCTTATCACCACCTGCTATGGTGGCAGGAACCGCAGGGTGGCCGAGGCCTTTGCCAGGACCGGGAAGGTGCGTGCCAGGGTGGGGAATGTTGGTGGCACAATGGACCTGAGCCTTCTGGTCTTTCGTGGGGGAAGGAGGGATGGGGCTGGGCAGTAAATGGGCCGTAGCAAGAGGTGCCTTGTCCTGGTGGGTCAGAGCCTGGTGGCCTAACTTCCCTGGTGAATGAGATCAGCACTCACTATCTCTGCTGCATTGGCTCGGCCAGTGCCGGATGCTGCAGAGGAAGGTGTAACCCCTCCACACCCATAACTGGACAGAGCTCTGCCCTGACACAGCCCTGGTGCACAGCTGTGAGCCCATAGGTCAGATCCAGGCAGCTGCTGCTCTCTGCAGCCCATTTGATCCTCCCCTGTGATGAAGCCTTCTGACCTGGGGAAGAAAGGACAGGCTGGGGGTCGGGGGCTGCAGGTGAATGGGCCCAGCTCACCTTGCGGTTGGGTTGTATTTGGCTTGTTTAGTCCATTGAGCAGTTGGAGAAGGAGATGCTGAATGGTCAGAAGCTGCAGGGTCCCCAGACGGCCGCCGAGCTGAACCACATCCTCAAACAGAAGAACCTGGTGGAGAAGTGAGTTCTGTTGCCCCCTCCCTCGGCTTTGCCCATGGTCTCCCTTGGAGCCCCACCTACAAGTGAGTCGGGGTCTCTGGCACATCCCAAGCCTTAGCTCTGCACCCACATGTGTAGTAGAAGGGGACCTGCCCCAGAGCCTGGATTGTCTGCCCCAGAGATCACGGTCCTTGGTGGAGACAGAGGGTCAATCTGCTAACTCTGGTTGGGCAGCTGGATGGTGGCAGCAGCTCGTTCCTCGTTAGCTGATCTGGAGCTTTGTCCCTGTGTCAGTGTCTCTCTTGTTGCCCATTTATCTCTTGGAGTTCGCCTTTCTGAGGCTCCCTGGCCGCAATGTTGTCAGGCCCTATGGGCAGTGTCTGCCATTGTCACCAGCTCCTGCCTTCCAGTCTGGTTCCTCATTTATGAGTTGTCTGGGTAGGTGCCTGGTGCATGTGAGGACAGGCCTGCCTTGGGGCTGCACATCATCTGCTCTGCATGCTGGATTCCAAAACTGCACCCTCCTTGTCTGATGTGGGGACAGGCGCTCCAGTATCCTCCAACCACCCCGGCCACGGTGGTTAATAAGAGCAGGCGATGCTGCTCTTCTCACATGTCAAGCCAGGTAGAACTGCTAAACCCAGAAGAGACCATCTTGGTGCAGCAGTGACTTGCCGGTTACCTCTGAGTGCAACTGCAAGGTTTTGATTCCTGCATATATAAAGCCAGTGCATGTACCTGTGCAGATCTTGTAAGCTAAGCAGGGCCATCTTGGCTTAGAACTTGGAGGGGAGACCTGTGGGAAAACCAACGTGTTACATTTCTGGTTCAGTAGGAGACACTCTTCCCCCTGGATTGGTGTTGAGCCCAATGCCTAGCAGAGGGGTAACGGGTGCTGTGCTGCGGGAGGTGTCACCTGTTGAATGAAGCACCAAATGTCTGTGGTGTTAAGATCTTGTGTCACTGAGTGTTAGTGTGCTGTCAGGATGGGGGCTGTGCTCTATCAATGGCAGGTCTGTTCTGCCGCTGCGTACCCCCTCTAGTCTCGGCTGGTTACACCAGTCTTAATTTCCTGCCCTAAACTGCTGTGTGCTGCTAAGCAAAAGATGTCGGGTGCAGGGATCCCTATTCGTCCTGCAGCTAAGGCTACAGAGGTTGAAACTAGCGCGTCACTTTGTCCATCTGCCCATAGGTTCCCCCTCTTCACTGCTGTGTATCAGATCTGCTACGAGGACAAACCTGTCGCTGAATTCATCAAGTGCCTCCAGAACCATCCTGCCCACATGTAACTGGGCCCCATCCGCTGAGATGAGGAGAGAGCCACTGGTGCAGCATGAGCCTTCATGTACAGAGACACTGGATCCTCCATGAGCCATGGCAGACCATGGGTAAAGGAGGTCCCTTCCATAGCCCTGGGGCTGGCTAGCCCTCAGCCTGTCGATGCTTTCTTGATTCTATATGGAAGCAACAAATTAAACTCCCTCCTTCTCTGGGGTGTCTAAAATTTGCTGGTCCCCAGGATATCCTCCTTGGGGAGGACATGGCATCAGTGATGCAGCTGGTCCTGTTCATGTGCGGCTCTTCTGGGCTTCCTTTGTGAGTTGTCTGTAGATGAAGCATGTGGAGGTTGCTTTGGCTGTGAGGACAGTCTGCTTTTGCGTGCTGCATCCCTGACAGGGGACTGCCTGGCAGGGCAAACGTCCTTTGTTGTCTGCTGCAGTGGTAGTTTGTTACTATTTTTTTTTTAGCTTACCCTCCCCGTGGCGAGGGACTGAGAACATGTGTGGACACCTGCCAGATTTTATCTGTCCACAGCCAAACTCTTCATGATTTTAAAAGGGGTCAATGATCCCCACTTTTATAATCAGCCCCAGCGCGTAGGGAGCACCCGCACATGAAACCCTGCTCCCCAAAGTCTCTTCCAGTGCCTTGGTTCCAGCCCAGCCCTGACTGGCAGAGTGCCAGGACCCCATCAAACTGGTGAGGGTGATGTCTTATTTTTGTGCCAGGGTAACTCCACAGGTGTCAAAAGGCAGCTTCCCAGGGCTATGTCCACTGCAGATTGTTAGATGCAGCCAAAGGAAGTTCTTTGGCCTTTTACTCTGCAGCTCAAAGCAAACCCCATTGGATACACAGATTCCTGAATCCGCTCCTGTCCCCTGTGACTGTTGGGCCACACTGCCTCGCAGCTCCCTGTTGTGGCCCATGTAGCTTTTCCTCCCTTCTGAGCTTTGTGCTGCTCCTGTCTGGCTATTGCAACCCAGGGACTCATGTCCCTGAGTCAGAACTGCAGCGGGCTCCCCTACCTGGGTGGGTTGCTGGCTGTGAATCTTGTTAGCATTGCGCCTTCCTGAGCAATTGGGCCAAGCTGCTTTTAATCAAGAAATGGGCTGGACCTGGGCAGCCTCCTGGTCCCCAGAGCATCTGGATTCTGTGCCTCGGCCTGTCTCTGCTTTTACTTGTGTGCCTTGGAGGCTGCACCCTTCCTGGTGTTCCTCTCGCTCGTGCCTGTGGGCGCTTGCCGGGCCCAGCTGGGGAGGCTGAAACTGTCCACTATAATAGGGGCCAACTGAGCTGCATTTCCCTGGCGTAACCCCTGACCTGGAGGCTGTGGGAGGGGAGACATTCACCAGCACAAAGGGGACTTGGGGTCCCTGTTGACTTTCAGTGGGCATCAGGCACCTGGCTGCCCTATGTGCCTTTGAAAATGGCCCCTCAGTAGCAAACCTGTTACATGCCTGTCTGAACCCTGTCACAAAGCCGGATAATTCCTTGCTACATCTTCACATGGTTGTGGCTGCCCAATGCCCCAGGCTGGGCTCATGGGTGTGAGTGAGCAAAATGCTCTCCCACCCCCACCCCCCAGCGCCGGACTTGCCTGGTGTCTCTGGATGGCTGAACATGAAAGTACTTAGATTGTGAATGTTTAATTAAAATAATATATGGACAGGGGGGAAATCCTCAGCCCCCAGTTTCTGCAGCTTCATTCTGTTTTTGCTGGTGCTGGCTGGACCTAGGGCCGGTGCGAGGCCAAACTAGTGTATCCCCCAGAGTCCCTTCTGGCCTTAAAATCTCTGTGCTGTATCCCGGAGGGAAGGCATAGAGCCCAGAGGAGAGGCAGGGCTGGCTGCGGGGCCTGGTTTCTAACTGGTGCCTTGGCTTACCGCTGTGATTCCACTTCAGACGCTGGATGGGGTGGACCCAAAGGAGCTGGGGCAATTGAGATCTTGCTGCCTGGAAGGGATTGGGCAGAGTACTAGGATCCTGTTTCTGAGTCTCTCCATAAGTGGGACCCATGGGTGGGGAGGGGGAATAGGGCTGGGACCCTGCAGTAAGAAGCTTGTGCAGCTGTAACCCCAGAGCCTATTCCCCCAGGCTCCCCTGACATGCTCTCTTCCTGGTGTGTTCCTTGTGGCTTTATTCTCCATGCCATTCTCCCCCAGGACCACTGGGTCCTCTTAGCAAAACTTGTCCAAGTACCTCCAGCTGGGTTGCCTCCCTATAAAACACACCTTGTCCTAAGTGACCTTTCCGGTCCCCCTCCCACCAAGCTTCAGCCAGGGGACCTTAATCTGCTGATACTAGTCACTGTTGTGCCTTTTATTAGATGCTCATCATCTCCAGATACCCTCTGACCTTTAGATTGAACTGACTGTACAGCAGGCTGCCAGCTTCAGTCTCCTCATGCGCCCCCTCCCTGATCCTGCTGGGGCTACCGAGAAGAGAGAACCTTACTCCCACACCCTGACCTCAGCCCTGATGCTGGGGGTGGCTTTCTGCTCCTATTGCCTTGGAGATCCGAGAAGCCCAGATCCTTTTGCATGAGCTGCTTCTGTCAGAGACCCTCCCCGCCCATTAATATGCAGGGGGCCTCTCCCACTCAGCCACAGCTGAATCCCAGCTTCTCCCCCAGAGCAATCTCTGAATTGCTCCAGCCTAGGCCCTTTTTTTTGGGGGGGGGGTGTTTCTGAAATGCTTCTCACCCCACCCCATAAGCTGCACTCCAGTTCCCATCATGGTTTCTCCTTACACCCTGGCCTTGCATGCCCCAGATCCCAGCGGTCCAGCTACTGCAGTGCCTGATGCCAGGCTGGCAGGGTGTGTGGAAGGATGTGGCTGCAGCAGCATCTTTCACAGGTAGGCGCTTCCTGTGTTCCCCAGGTCACCTGGTCGCAGCTAGTGGTGGAGGGTTTCTTTTTAGTAGTGAGGGTTGAACTTGATGTGCAAGCACTGAGCAGCTTTACCAGTACCTGGGATGTGGCTAGCTTGGTCCTACCATCAGACGTCACTGCAGGTGTGCAGGGCTGGCCGGGGGGGGCAAGTGGGGCAATTTGCCGCAGGCCCCGAGCCCCACAGGCCCCCTACGAGAATATAGTATTCTATAGTATTGCAACTATTTTTTTATGGAAGGGGCCCCCCCAACTTGCTTTACCCCGGGCCCCCTGAATCCTCTGGGCAGCTCTGCAGGTGTGACAGAGCCCAGATCCCCTGGGGCAAGGATGGGCAGAGCTTGTCTCTGAGAGCCTCACTGTTCTTGAGGAAAAGCTCCCCCACCCTGCCCAGGCGCTGGCTATAAAAAGTCTCCCCTTTGCCATTTGGAGTTATGTTCTGCAGACACAGCACACATCAAAGGGCACGCTGGATGTCAGTGTGGCTCCAAGAGGTGCATCTGTTCTGATCCCAGGTGCAGGAGGAGACCTTTACTCACCAGCAGACCCAGCAAGGAAGCCACTCTTAGTTTGTCTGTGGCTGCGAGGGACTTTCAGGGTGGAGCAAACTTTTGTGAAGCCAGCACTAGCATGCTAGCCCTCCGGCTACAGGGCTAGCAGCAGTGCGCAGATTTCCTTGCCGCTGGTATCCTGGGCAGCATGGCAACTGTGGATGCCACCTGTGCTGTGTTACTGTGATTAGGGACACCTGTTAAGCAGGCTGCAGCCACCTCAACTCCTCCAGCAGCAGCCCTGCTACTGTGCTGTGCAAACTTACCTTAGGGCAGGAGACTATAAGTCCCTTGTCCCCCCGCCCCCGTACATCTAATGCGAGTGCTGTGAGGGGCTCACTGAACAACAGAAAGGAGTGGAGGGTGAGTCTGGGAGGGTTGCAGACCCCGGGGAAAGCGGGGTACACTACTGGGTGAGAGAGACAGGCCAGCAGCTCAGCTCTCGCTGGGAGGGGGGGGCAGGGAGTAGCGTCACGGTGGGAGGTGAGTGGGGAAAAGAGCCTGTGGAGAGATGGTGGAGACCGGAGCTGAGTGGGAGCTGGCGGAGTGAAGGGGGAGGCGCTGGAGCTGAAAGCCCAGCCGGAGCCCCTGCTGCCTGGAGCAGAGAGAAAATCTCCTACATGCATCTGCCAGGCTCTGCTGGTGGGGGTGGCTGGGAGCCCAGGCGGGCAGGTTCCCAGGCCTGCCCCTGCCCGCAGGAGCGCAGCCGCGGAGCCTAGTGCGGGGTGGGGCGTGGGGCAGGAGCGCAGCCGCGGAGCCTGGGGTGGGGGGGCAGGAGCGGAGCCTAGTGCGGGGGGGGACAGGAGCGCAGCGCC